AGATTTAGATACGTTAGTCTCGTCAAGGATCCCAATAACTCAGGGATGTGGTTACGCTTAAAATGGTTGCCGCTGAGATCCAAGTGATGAAGACGCCGCAGAGAAAGCAACGATGGGTTTAGGTCACCACGCAGTGCCCATTTGCATCCGGTATGTACCACAAAAATGTCAAACGTATTATCGTCAGAACAGTCAAATATGTCCTCGTTGTGTTGATTCCGAAGGTCGAGCTTGGTAACGTGGCCAGTGATGTTGCTGCAGTCGACGCCTTCCCAGGTACAACAATCCTCCCCGACCCAGGAAGAGAGACGATGGGAAGGATCACGGAGTCCGAGCTTGAAGTCGATCAGGGCTTTCCGCTCTCTCTCTCGGCAACGGATATAGGTGGAACCATGAGAAATCTCAAGCTTAATGGTCAGTAGAGCAAGAGAGAACATGATGACAAGAAGAGGGGATCTCTCACCCATGGCAAGTGCCCCGTTTTCTTTTTCGTTCAGCCGGAGGCAGCTCTGTTCCTCTCTCTCTCTCTCTCTCTTCTATAATAGTTGAGAATTTTCTCTAGGCTGGCCACACATACCTACGTTGTGGTTACGTTAATGGCTGATTAGGAAGGGAGAATTATTTACAGATTGACCACACTGATAATTAATGAGTTGCTGGTCAAAGTCATCCAACATCGAAATGTCCCGAACTAATTGGAATTTTGGTTTAGAGGAGGCTTATCCATCTCTTAAATTGCATAGGTTGAGAATGATCAAAAAGCAGAGAAGTGATAATTGGACTGGTAATAATGATGAAGAATCGGAGTGTCTTCTGCAGAATCCAAGTCACACTTTCTACGAAGCAATCTATAAACTTGGATAACGACCAACTCAAGAAAGATGTCGGAATATTTGTTTGGAGGAAAAAATAATGTCATTCAGTAAGCTATCCTCGATGAACATATAGTGTCGTGTATGTTGATGTTCATGTTAAGAGATGCTTAATTTGTGCATTCATTTGGTCAAAGCCCCACCATTCGATTCGATGGAGTTCATCGTTCTTTACAACACCATCCGATCACTTTGATGCTGTTAGGTTACATATTTTATAATATTCATCCAAAATTTTTATGATACAAATCATTGGTAATTGGTTGGTGGATTTCCAAATATGTGCCAGCGGAGAGTCAATACGAGAAACATTGGAACTACAATGTGATCCATGAAAGGGAGGCAATACGAGATCCAAATTTCGATGGATTTTTTCTCTTAATTTTTATGAGGAAATAAATTTGGGTTTGATCAAAGCATATGTTTTACTGCAGGACGAGTTTGTGTTGGTCCACATACCCCCTCGGCCATGGACTAGTTCAATGAGGTGGGGTCATCATCACAGCTGAGCCGAGCGAGACGTTTGACGCAGAAACTCCTGTAGTATCCGAGAGTTGGATCCTTGTCGAGTTTCTGAACCACATATGCTCGACGAAGAGTCTGTGGAAGACGAAAGGTGTGGAAATCGTTGGAGTCGAGTCAGTCAAACAGATATCCATGGACTTCCCGGTGGATCATCGCGCGTTGCGTCTCTGTCAACCAATACAACAACACAGAATGAGACTCTTCTATTGGTTGGTTAATTGCGAGGGCCTCACGAAAAGTTATCGTCCTCACGCATTGCCCTCAACCCGCTGCAGACGGATTCGTCGTTCCTAATGCCTTCCCAACT